CATTATTGTCAGGAGAGTAGGTATTGAGAAAAACACAGTGAACATAAGAACCAACAAACTTTGGCCCAGTATGCTTCCAAGTCAGGGCAGATCCATGTCATGCCATAAATTATCATTTACTTGGTGGAGGGTAAAATGCTTCTGGAACCCCCAATTCCTCATCCTCCAAAGCTCAGAGGCTGACAATGCATAAGAAAGATTATTGTCTCCAATGCTCTATCTGGTACCTGTGAACAAATGAAGGCAACTTCAAGGCCCTGATTTCCAGAAAAGGCTAGCTTATTTTTGTATACAATGTCCCTAGCGATAAAAATAGTCATTTTCCAGAATCGCTTTACCTCATCCCTTAGGGCCTATAGTGACAAAAGAAAGAAGGAAGTAATGAGAGTAGAGGTTTGTTCGCTGGGAATATCTTCTAAATGCCTCTAAAACACAGCTAGTCAAACCTTCATCCCACAGCTCGTATCCCCTGGGTCAGATAATTTTAGGAGGATATCCACAACTACTTTTCTTTAATGGCTTTAGATCCTTTTTTTCCCCTTAACCCGTACTGTTTATAAAACCCCCTTAGGACCACAAAAATAAAATTATTTTCTTTTTACCCCAATTTCAACTACTTCCATGTGGCAAAATATATTTGCCTGTCCCCTGCTGCCAGGCTTTTAATTTAATAAGACTAAAGATGAATTTTCTTTTTAAAAACAATGTCTTCGACCTTATCTATACTCTAGAGCCAAAAAGTGTTATCCAGGGAGCTCCTTAGCATCAGAAATTTCCTCTGGGCCATGCCACAGGACTTTACATCAAAATGAAGCTGTCTCATTAGGCAAGCCCCTCCCCCCATCAGAGTCATTTCCAAACTAACCAGAAAGGGCATTTTTGGTTTCATTACCTGTAGCTAGTACAATCCTGCATTCTTCCACTGTCAGTCCACTGAAGCCGGTGTCTCTTGGGCGTGGATACTTCCAAAAAACAATGGAAAGAAGAGTTAATTAACCAAGATTGCTGCACTTTATCGACCCGCTGGGAGATCTTGCCCTTTGAACCATATTCTACTACAGCTGCTGAGAGGCTCAGGTAACATTAAATCCTGGAAGAATAGCCACATCTTAAGGTCAAAGGCTCTCCTTCAATAGAATGCCCACATTGATTGGCCTTGCTTGATTTAGAAAGGGAAGCCTTTTCTCACACCACTGGAGTTTTGATTACAGTGGAAGAAAGAGTGGACTAAAATAAGCAAATTACTCAAGTACCAATTTGGAATTAAATTCCAAAATTTTCTCACTATTTTGAAAACTGTCAATGATCTTGGATGGGGAGGTTAAGCTTAGCAAACTTCTTTTTTCCTACATAGTGAAAAAAACAGTTCCTATAATATTAAAGGGCAAATAATTAAAAGAGTTAAGTACCTTTTTCAAGCACCTTCAAGCTTCAGAAATACATTAGCATATAAATAACTGATTTTTAGAAATAATTACAAATCATTCTTATTTTAAAGGTATAATGTATTAGACAACACTGGTTGCTTCATTTGAATTAATGGATGTATTTAGTTTCAACAAAACTGATTTATCTCTAAAAATCTTCCATAATAAATACTAGTTTTAACTTTATACATTCCCCATCTCCCCCCTTCCCCACCCTGCAATGAAATCTGACTGCTAACCTATGGACTACTCACTTTGTGCTTGTAATAGTTTGAATGAAGTCGTGCTAAGCTCTCATACATCTGGTCACAGGTCTCAGGCTCAGCAATCTGAAAAATAAAATATCCAAGGAGATGAGCACATATGAGTTCCATGTGCCATCCTAGATTTCATGACATGGAGCAGGAGGACAACCTGGACAAGGTAAAGAAGGTGCTTATCAATACACAAGTTCATTGCTAGAGCACAAACAGGAAGAGGATGTATTTTGGCCTGTAGTTCCTTGTTAGGGATAATCTCTTTGGGGATGATGGTTCCACCTCTTCACTCCTATTCCCACATCTTATTTCAAAATTCAATCAAGTGACCAAGTAACAAATATTTATTGAAAATCTAGATGTTGTAGGGAAATTTAAATAAATATAAGATGTGATCCCTGCCCTCCAATACCTTACTATCTGAAAGAGGAAACTACATATACTGATAAAGAAAACAGGATCTGAGGAAAGCGTCCACTGATGAGCATGGATAGAGGAGGGAGGGACCATAGTGGCCTGGGATGGTCATTCAAGCCTAAGACTAGAATGCACCTCATAGATTGCTTAATACAATCCTTTCAATTTGCAGGCAATGGGCTCTGAGACCTATGACTTGCCCAAATCCAACACGTGAATCTAGGTCTTGGGATTCCAAATCTAGTCTTTCCATTGTAGTGGGCTTCTATTAACTGGTGTAGAGCAAAGTAAGCAAAACCAAGACATTACACATGATTATACACAATTACCACAACAATGCAAACGAAAGCAAGAATATAAAAGACGGCAGAATCCAGATCAACGCAGTGAGCAATCCTGACTCCCGAGGACTGATAATGAGGCATACTTCCTTCCCTCCCCTTGGTAGAGAGGTAGTAGGTTACAAGTACAAAATAAGGCATGTTCTCTAGAGGTGATCAACATGTCTGTTTTTGCTTATTTACTTCTGTATTGCCAGAGAAGGGGGAAGGGGGAACACTGTATT